CATGTCTATCATACCAACATAAAAAATAGTTAAAATTTGTATGCAAGGGGACTCTTTACAAATTCACATGCCTGCCTAATGGGTTAGGATCCTGCCCCAGAAAATTCACAAAGTTACTAAAACCAGTGTATTCATCACTACGACAACAAGGTCATGTGTCATCCCCATATATTGACGACTCCATCCTCATTGGGGATAATTATGATGAATGCGCAGATAATGTGATAAATACAATAAGACTGCTTGATAATCTCGGGTTTGCACCACACCCGGAAAAATCTGTTTTTATACCCACACAAATTCTAGTGTTTCTAGGGTTTTTATTGAACTCAATCACTATGACAGTCTCCCTAACTCCCGAGAAGGCTAGAAAGTTAAAAGCTGCAGTCAACCACCTTCTCCTACGTCAAAGGCCTTGTATTCGTGAGGTGGCACAAGTTGTGGGACTCATTATATCTAGTTTTCCTGGGGTCATGTATGGGCCTTTGCATTTCCGCCTCACTGAGCATGAAAAATCAGAAGCCCTCAAACTGAATGCTGGGAATTTTGAAGCACACATGTGTTTGACATCACCGGCTAGAAATGAGCTTCAGTGATGGGTTGACTCCATAGATACAGCAGTTAATGTAGTGTATCGGCCTGAGCCAGATATTACAATTCGAACTGATGCATCCAAACAAGGTTGGGGGTGTGCAGTAAATGATCTAGCAACTGGGGGGCTTTGGACAGTGGAAGAGCAAGAAGACCATATAAATTATCTTGAAATGCTAGCTGTGTTGTTTGGCCTTAAAGCATACAAGCAGTTGGTATCTGACAAGCATGTAAAAGTGCTTGTTGATAATACCACAGTTCAGGTTACACTGAATAAGATGGGAACTAGTCATTCTCCCAAATTAAATGCTCTTGTTAAGTCCATATGGGACTGGTGTATCATACACCATATTTGGCTCACAGTTGCCCGTATACCAGGGAAAGAAAATATTGAGGCTGACTATGAATCCAGAAAGTGTAGGCGAAATACAGAATGGTGCCTTGACAAAAAATTGTTTCACAAAGCATGTGAAAAACTACACTTTATGCCCAATATTGATCTTTTTGCTTCTCGGATAAACTATCAGGTGAAGCCATTCTTTTCATATCATCCTGATCCAGAAGCATTAGCAGTAAATGCATTCCACCAAACATGGAGTGATTACAAGTTCTATGCTTTCCCCCCATTTAGTATAATCAGTCGGGTTCTCCAGAAAATTCAGAAGGAACAATGCGAAGAACTTATTCTTGTGCCAAAGTGGCCCACACAGACATGGTGGCCAGTTGCTATGAAAATGCTTGTTCAGAAACCAGTGCTGCTTCCAATGCAGGAATTCACATTATTTCTACCCAGCAAACCAACAGAAAAGCACCCTCTCCATCACAAAATGTCCCTGTTGCTGTGTCACTTATCAGGAAACAACTTGAGAACAGAGGTTTTTCGCAAACAGTTACAAACGTCATGGATGCATCATGGCGATCAGGTACGCGTAAGCAGTATGAATGCTATTTATCCAAATGGGAACTATACTGTAGTGAACGGAAAATCGATCCCTTTTATCCAGCTCTAGAAGATGGAATTAATTTTCTGGGGGAATTGTACGACCAAGGGACAGGATATAGTGGATTAAATACTGCTAGAAGTGCTCTATCATCTATCATTGTGTCAACAAATAATGGGTCATTTGGAAGTCACCCTTTCGTCCGCCGCTTTATCAAAGGTTTATTTGAAACTAGACCATCTTTACCGAGATACCAGGAAATTTGGGATGTTAATACAGTCCTTGACTTCTTGAAAACGTTGCATCCACCTAAAGACATACCATTGAAGGATTTAACACTTAAACTCGCAATGCTGTTAGCACTGATATCGACACAAAGATGCCAAACATTGCAGGCTCTATCTATTGACCATATGAAAATCACGGACAGCCAATGCACCTTTTATTTCAGTGATTTGTTGAAGACATCCCGGCCAGGCAAACATCTTAGTCCGTTGGTTGTGAAATCATTCACCCGAAATGCACAACTTCGTCCTCTGAACGTCCTACGAGAATACATAACAAGGACCACAAATATTAGAGGATTGTGTAAGCAACTATTAATCAGTTATCAAAAGCCACATAAAGGAGTGACAACGGACACTATATCACGTTGGTTCAAACTAGTCTTAAAGTTATCAGGAATTGATAACTTTACAGGACATAGTACTAGAGCGGCTGCATCTTCTGCAGCCAAAAGATCAAAACATGGCTATTGCAACGATTTTGGAAGCAGCAGGATGGTCTAATGCCACAACATTCAATAAGTTTTATAACAAACCGTTACAAACCCAGACTAATTTTGGTCAAACAATTTTAGATGCTGCATTAAGTAATGCAAAAGATTGAACATTGTAAAACGTTCTATTCCAATATAGTTTTTCGTTGGGTTGTTAACTTTGTGTTGAAGCTCCTGATTCCAACACTTTGAATATCTCACATGACTCCTTAGTGACGTAGTCCAATGACGAAATAGAATTTAAAAATTAAATGAGACTTACCTTAAGTCGAAATTTGATTGTAATTCTATGAGTCTTTGGACAAGGAAACTAAGGAGTCACCCACCCAAAGTTCATTCAATGTTTGTAGGGGAAAACAGGCTTTCCTTTTTCCCACCCAGTAACTTACTGTTGAAATCACTCGCTGCGTTAAAGACTGAACACTCGATCTGCGTGCGCATATCTCACATGACTCCTTAGTTTCCTTGTCCAAAGACTCATAGAATTACAATCAAATTTCGACTTAAGGTAAGTCTCATTTAATTTTTAAATTTTAACGTCCTTATCCGAGAAAAGGCGAAAGTCTAACCATTTACTGATTTCAATGTAAGGTAGCACTTTCTCCTCAATTATTTTAGGATCTTGAATACAGGTCCGACCAAGGATTGAACCCGGGTCTCCCAGCTTGAAATGCAAGCGTGGTGACCACGACACTACAAGCGCTGTGCCACCTCTCTAAATGAATCGAGACCCTGAACTAAGAAATGGCCCTCTAGAGTGCCATCGTGTCTGCGACTCTGCGATGGCCGGAATTGCGAGGGCCCTCGCTCAATTTGGAAACCAGTAACGTTTGTGTCTGAACAATCAGAAGAAAATAAAAACACTTCATAATAACACTGAAGTGACTGAACCATGATATACTGACCTCAAAATATTGATCCAATGTCAAATAATTATAAGTTAGGTGAGACATGGGTTTCTTGGAACGTTTTTACAGACCTAACTCAAATTAAAAAAATGACTGGGGACGTTCACTGACCATGCAACATAATTTTTGTTTTTGACAAGGCTTTCGCCACTAAGTCTAGAATCTATTGACTGTGGTCTTCAACAAGTACAGGACTAACAAAACACAGTAAGATAAATATTTACATTACAAGAAATTAAAATATCTTTCTCATGCTTTTAACAAGTTTGAATTTTTCAAAGAGAGGGAATAATTTCGCCAGGGGAGAGGGACACCCCAGCCCACCTCTGGTGTACGTGTTCCGCTGAAAAGTCTGTAGAAAGATCGAGCAGAAACAAGGCGGGCTAAACTACCGTAAATCCACTAAACCGATTTAATATATAAATGGGTAAATCTAGTTCAGTCTATATATCTTTTCTTCCTAAAGGTCCAGTTGACACATCTCGGCCCTAAAGGCCATTGTTGGTAGGGGTGCACCGGAACTCGGTTCCGGCAGATTAGTTCCGGCCGGAACCTCGATTTTTTAGAGTACCGGTTCCGGCCGGAACTAATAAAAAAAGCATGGCCGAAACCGGAACTCTGTCGTTTTCAGAGAGATAGAATATCAAACGTTTTTGTGTCTAACAAAAGGTCATACTAGGAAGAACTATTAACATTATTAACACTTCATTATGACGTTTAACGTTTGTCAATCTTTTTATTCTAACATTTGCGAGCTCTCCTTGATGACTTGAAGTGCCTGCCGGTCTGGCAGAGGACAAAGTAACATATGACTATATATGGCTTAATAAATTAGTTCCGGTTCCGGCCGGAACTTCTTTCCAGTTCCGGTCGGATCCGGTTTCGGCCGGCACTTAAAAAACTGGTTCCGGTGCACCCCTACTTGTTGGTTCAGTCTTTCTAAAGGGGACAACTAGATTACATTCAGAAACCATGGGAAAAACGTTCGCAGTTTGGAAACACAGCACACGAGATTCAACTACAATACAAGCATCAAATCCTAATTTCATAGGTGAAAGGAGTGTCACTATCTAATCATGCATTCTGCTACCCAAAAGGAGAGAACAATAACCAAGTTCGATTTAACGAGTTTTTCTTTTATTTTTATTTGGCATGCAAACTTTCAAGAAGACCGCATGCATGATTTATAGTGCAAGTGAGTAGCATAAAAACAAATATATGTTCCATTAATATTTTTCCCTGGTAATGAAAAATAACTATGTCTAAATTTCAGTACCTATATATTTTTTCAAATCATTAATACAAGAAAACTGCGATTTATATACTAAAGTACAGTGTATATATACCATACCGGTCAAATATACAAAACTACTGCATGTAATACCCAGTCACTGACATGCACTCGACAAGAAATTTAGGAGGGTGGATGGGTTATTCAACCCACAATGGTAATTGGGTTGCTGTTAATACTGCAACCAGTTGCCATTCTTAGTAGAATACTTCAACTTCTGATGTTGAGAAAGTGTAGCCACCAGCAAGGAGGTTTTTTGCTTGGTCAGTGTTTTCGAAGTAACCAGGAGGAAGTTGATATGCTTGACCAAGATTGCAGTATGATTTCTGATTATGATTGGAATTGTTCCAAATTATCAAATCATTATTACCAAACCAAGGACCATAATTTGGAGCACAGTAGATTGCTGCCCTCTCCTTACCTCGCTTGATGTTGGCAATAAATGGAGCCACGTTATCTTTATTCCGTAAGGAAAACAAAAACGACGAGTTGAGATAAGTTTGTCCTGCGCGACCTAATATGACAAAATATTTAGTATTTATACCCGTTTTCAAAATTACGTGACCTACTGACCTGCCCGAAAAGAATTCCAAACTCTATAAATGAGGGCTACAAAAGCAAATCTCTTCACAAGAAAACACCAATCTCTAGGTTTAAATGTATATAAATTGCTTGAATCTCTATATAGTGGAATCATTTTCGGACTGGTCGCGCAATTTTGAAATGGATTGCATACACTGTATATAGCAATAACATGGATTTAATTGCTGACACTTGTTGAAAAACTTATAAAATTTAATAACACATACAAAGGCCATCATAACATTACTCATTAGAGATACAGTATGTATTCTGTGAGTGAGTACAGGCATACAACGTGTACAGTATACAAATAATGAATGTTTATGAGTGCAATGGTAAGAATATTTTCATGAGGTGAAAGAGGGAATGTTCCATTCAACGAGGCGACAGCCGAGTTGAATGGAACATTCCATCTTTCACCGAATGAAAATATTCTTACCATTGCACGAA